GGTCACGGTAATATATCATATTGATAATATATCATTCATCATAAGGTGGGCCTACGTGTGGAGGCGGTTATCACTCACAAAATAGCCCTGATTTGTCCATCAGGAGGCTATCGCCGGACAAATATTACTCTTATTACCGTTGATTACTTTGACCTCTGATTAATGATTCTGACCTTGATTACTCTCAATATTACTCTAATTTCCATGGGACGTTCACCACATGACAATTACCCTGAATCATGCCAACCATTACCCTGATTCATGCACCAGCGGGCGGTCACCACACAACCATTACCCTGATTCATGCACTGGAGGGCGGTCACCACACAACCATTACCCTGATTCATGCACTGGAGGGCGGTCACCACACAACCATTACCCTGATTCATGCACTGGAGGGCGGTCACCACACAACCATTACCCTGATTCATGCACTGGAGGGCGGTCACCACACAACCATTACCCTGATTCATGCACTGGAGGGCGGTCACCACACAACCATTACCCTGATTCATGCACTGGAGGGCGGTCACCACACAACCATTACCCTGATTCATGCACTGGAGGGCGGTCACCACACAACCATTACCCTGATTCATGCACTGGAGGGCGGTCACCACACAACCATTACCCTGATTCATGCACTGGAGGGCGGTCACCACACAACCATTACCCTGATTCATGCCCTGGAGGGCGGCCACCACACAACCATTACCCTGATTCATGCACTGGAGGGCGGCCGCCACATTCGGTTCAAGATTTTAATAAGCTTAGGGAACGTCAAACTTCTTAGGTCGTGGGGATTGTGATCCTCCTTGATTAAGCTTCAGCTTTCCGAGCAACTCCGGGGCACCGCGTAAGCTCTAGGGACGTCGAAGTGTCCCAACTCCCAAACGCGTCACCTAAACGTCCCCAAAGCTGGGCCTAAACGTCCCCACAGCGGTGTCTTAATTTGCATGTACCTATCCCTAAAAGGGGACCTAAGCGTCCCTAGAGCAGCGCCTAGGAGTCCTAGCAACAGCGCCTAATTGTTCTCAAATGAGCATCTAAACGTGCCCAAAGCGGCGCCTGAACGCCCCCATAGTGGCACCTGAGCGTCCTCAAAGCGGTGCCTAAGCGTCCCCTAAGCGTCCAAGTCCCCTAAGTGTCCAAGTCCCCTAAGCGTCCAAGTCCCCTAAGCGTCCAAGTCCCCTAAGCGTCCAAGTCCCCTAAG